AATAAATCTTCTAGTTACAGAATTCTGGTAAAGACAGTGGTGAATATTTAACCACCTTATTTAGATTTATCAATGAGGGATTTTTAAATATTGTAGAGATTTCTCAAACCAGAAATCCTCAGGTTGTTTCTCATGACTAAAATGTTGCTAAACATATATTTTAAGAAAGCATATATTACAAGCTGCATCCACACTGCAGAAATAATCTGGTTTGACAGCACTTGAACTGCCATGGCTTAATGCTCTGCTCTGATGCTGCAATGAACTACACTTCCCAGAATTCCACAGTACCGAGACATGGCAGTTTAAGCTATGTCAAACAAATTATTTCTGCAGTGTGGATGCAGCTATTGTGATGTCAAAGCTATACCATTCATATAACTCGATAAATATCTTTGGTTAAAATAGGATCTATGTTTAAAAAATGTCTGTAGAATTAAAGTTTAAACCATGTTTAAACATAGCAAACCGAAATACTAACTTCCAAGCTCAAGCTATGTTATTTCAAGATTAGAAGTCTTAAAGCCATATTAATATCAGATTAGAAATACAGAGGTACTTATTTTAAAAGGTAAAAGCCAGGGTGGCGTAGTGTTTTGAGTGCTGGACTACAACTCTGGAGAACAGGGTTCGATTTCTGGCTTGGCCATGAAACCCGCTGGGTGACCTTGAGCAAGTCACATGCTCTCAGCCTCAGGGGAAGGCAATGGATAACCTCCTCTGAACAAATCTTGGCAAGAAAATCTCATGATAGGTTGCCTTAGGGTCACCCTAAGTCGGAAACGACTTGAAGACACATAACAGCAACAAACGCCAAGTATCAACCAATTAAATCACAAATAGTTTGATATTACAAAAAAAAACATTGTAAGACAGCAAGCCTTCACCCCAGGATCCCACAATAATTCTTTATACCAATAGTGTGTATCATACACACCTCCAAATATTGTTGGATTGTAAATCCCTATAGTCCTAGCTAGCAGAGCCAACAGTAAGGAATCCTAGGAGTTGCACAATTCCCAGCCCTAGTTTACAGTATAAATTGAAAGATCACCATGACTTATCTTACAAATTGTGACTTCTATCCACTAAAAAAGTGCACTACAAGGAAATGGATGTAAGAATTCCTGAAAATATTTGCCCATGTTACTTTACCTAAGCAGCAGACATAAAATTATTTCCAGCCAAAATCAGAGGGGGAAAAAATTCCAAGAGCCAAAGAAAAAGAAAAGATAATGCCATGTTTTAAACACTGTGTGTTTGTAGCATGTACAGTATCATCCAAAAATGCCATCTTTATTTATCAAAATGTTTATATGCCACCCTAAAGTCAAAGATCTCAGGATGGCTTACAATAAAATAAAATTAAAATAATAAATAATAACAATAGTTTAAAAGAGTAAAAATATATTAAATAATTTATCAATTAAAACCAGCTTATTTAAATTGGTTAAAACAATATTAAATACCTAATATAATCATAAAACACGTGCACCCAGGATAGTTCGGTCCAAAGGCTTTAATAAAAAGTCAAGTTTTGAATTTGTGCTGAAATGATCCCAACATTGGCGCCAGTTGGGTCTCCAAGGGAAGGGAATTCCACAACTGGTATACCACTGCAGAGAAGACCTTCTCCCATGTCCTCCCAAAATGTATTTCTCCCACTGGTACACCAGTAGGGGAAATTTAGTTGTTTGGTTAATTTCTCTTGAAACATACATGAGAAATTAACCAAGCAACTAGATATCAATTGAGTTAACTGTAGCCCCTGCATTCACAGGATGAGTTCACACTGATGTCATCTACAAGAACATCCCAGCACTTATTCCACACTAAAAATAATATGATCCAAGCTGCAAAGTTCCAAACAGCAATAGCAATTATGGATCAAAAAAATCCAACATCAACCCAAAAAATCAGATACTGATAAAGGTATTGCTCTTTTGTGGATTTTGGATTTTGTTTTATTCCAAAGAATCAGTATTCGCTTTTGTTTCTGATTGCCAAAAACATTATCAAAGCTATTGACTCAGTACATGAAAAGGTCTGAGTTGCCAATAGAACTACTGAAGTCTTCAGTAAAAATATATATATATCATATTAATAAAAATCACTTTGTAAATTCTAACCATATTTTTAAAATCAAAATTCAACATATAAAATGAACATGATAAAGATGTCTATCCCTGACGGGGTCCCTGTAGATTAAACATAAACTTACACAGACAAACAGGATACAGATTTATCATTAACAAGTCACCAGAGTATCACTGTTGATAAGAATTACCGCTCAAAGAAACAAGTGGTTCCTCAGAATACTTGATTTATAACTAATATATCAAGCCTTTAAAAAAAAATCCTAAAGAGTCATGGAATTTGCTTGGTGCTGAATCATCTTTTGTCAATTATTCAACCAATTCTTTTGTGACAAAAGCATTCTTTGTTTTACAAAACTGTACCTCTTTTTACTTTGATCAAGTAAACTAATAATTGAGTCTAGAGAATGTACCTTCTCTGTAAATGTGGCTTTTCCTCTGGAAGGAACTATTACACAGTACAGAATACAATGTACTGTATACCAACAGCAAATCCGCTGAGGAAAAGTAAGGAGTGGAAAAACTCTGGCTCTCCAGCAGTAGCATCACTGGGGTGGGTGGGAGGTGTGAGGGGTGCGGACCACATTGGGTGACACCCCAGAAGGGGGGTGACACCTCAGAAGAGGGGGTGAAACTCAGTTGGCCCCCTGCCCCTGAAGAGGTCTCTGGCTCGGGCGGGCGACTGTTTCCCTAGCCATGTGGCCGCTTTCCACAGGCCTTGTGGGAGAGGCCTCCGCCCCGGGTGGCCATTTCCGCAGCTGCACAGCCATTTCCAGTCGGCTCCTTGCTCCTCAAGGAAAGCCATGCCAATGCAAGGAGGCTGTGGGGGGCACTCCAGCCCGCTCCTTGCAAGCCAGGTCGAAGTAAGGAGGATCCTTGCAAGCCTTTTCTCCCAGTTACCTCTTCCTTGTCCCTAGTAAATGGAAAAGGTGTGAAATAAATTTTAATTGGTGTATTCACTTGCTGCTGCCTTTTAAAATAATCAGCTCCAGTGTGGGGGTTTATTTGAAGCAAGACAACTTATACTTGTTTCACTCATTAAGTGAAAAAGGCACTTATTAATGCTCTGAGACCATCTATTTTCTCAGGCTGAGATCTCTCTGAAAAAAAAAAAAAAAGCAAGGTCTGGGCTGAATTCTAGTAATTTTTGTTCAAATTTAGTCCAGGAGAGAGGAACAGGATGGGTGCTTGCCTGTGGTTTGGTGTCAGTATGGATAATCAAATATTTTAATTTATTATCAGTTTAAATCTACAAAAGGAAAGGGGAACAGAGAAAACCTTTTAATGCAACTTTGAGTGCATTTTTTCTGTAGGTATGTATTTTGTTTTCCTTTGTATTCCTGCTTCATTAAAAAGTTTTTAAAAAGTATTTTTCCACTTCATGAAAGAATGAAAGGATAAAACCAAGCCATAGAAAATAGTTCTAAACAGTTTTTGATTTGCATAGAACATAAAGAACATAAGCATGCAGTTTGTTTCTTATCAGAAACATTTCCATTCAACTGTACAGTATTTATTATTAGAACTACAGGGATTCTGAAGTCTTTCCGTGTCAAAGAACTGTAGACAATAAAAATATTAACAGGTATTGGAATGGAGGACTTGAAAGATATTGCCCGATTTTGGCCATTCTTTAGCAAGATATTAATATATCTAGCCTCCTCACAAGTTTGTGCACTTCCAGCTGCTCTCTTCTCTTCCTGTAGCCCTGAAAGAGGTGTTCGAAAGTTTTCACTTCCACTTTTAGCCAACCTTGGCTTGCAATGTCACCTAGACCTGGAACTAGATTAATGTTCACCATGTTCAGTTTCAAAACCCATAGTTTAAAGTTAGCTTTTTAGAACCTAAACACTGTTAACATTTGAAGCACAATTCATTGTTCCAAATAAATCACAGTTTATTAAAAGCAGCACCTTCCAAAACCCTCCTGATTGCCATGTGGGGTGGGGAAGTGGAGACTCCAGAAGAGAGGGGCATGTGACTCCAGAAGAGACTGAGCTCCTTCGCGTCTCATTAAAACAAAGTTTAGGGTGACAACCACACACAACAATTTTTTTTAAAAAAATAAGAATATATAATTAATGTCGATAAATAAAAACAATGAAACTAGTATTAATAATACACAATTATATATCGTGTAAACCATTGGACAAGAAAGTCAAATATCCTGCTTGTAACAAGGGCCTATCCTAGATACTCTAAAAACCCTTAAATCCCACTTTTTCTGTCATGGAAGCAGGGAAGTTCTGATAGCTCTCAAAATGTGATTCAAGGAACCTTGGCAGTTCTAAATCACTTTTCATTTCTCCACTACAACCCTCTTTGCACAGCAAAGATGTATCACAGAAGAGCTTCTCTCAAGCTCTAACACCGTTTACAACAGTACAGCACTTTGTCACAGTACTTGAGCAAGGAGCAAAATATCTCCTTGTTATAATCTCCTTGCTTATAATATTCATAAATATTGTAACTCCCATTTTTAACTTCATTAAAATACTGAAATGTCACATGATACAAACGGGTAAAGAAACAAAGTTCTAAGTTTCTCAACAGAGCAAATCTGCACAATATATACATTAGTAATTCTCCATCCAGACACTTTGCCAAGTAGATTTTAAGACCCCGTTTTAATTAACTACAAAAAATTAATTCATTTTTAAAGAGGGAAAAAAGGCAAATGATTTAAATCTTTTTTAACTACATTCATAATTTGTTTCTTAGCATGCAGTGTCAACCATTTCATAAATGTTCAACACAAAAGAAACTATAATCAGTAAGGTACAAGGCCTACAATAAAAGACAGTGTGCAGAACCCAGTTAAATAAATAGCAATATGAGAATTTCATTTTCTCCTAAACAAAATCTGCTATGAGAGATCATTACCCGGTCTTTCATTCGCCAACTCTGAGCCAGTGACTTGGAGCCTTCAATTTTCTCACAGTGCCGCTTCTTCATGAAGGCCAAAGGCAGATTCCAGTCAGTCATGTCTGACTCATCTTCCTCCCCAAGCCCCAGAAGGGGTGACTGCAGCATATCTGACTCCATGAGAGAAGGAACCAAGGTGACCAATGATCAAAAGTCACCAGTCCAACAAAGTATGAGGAGAAAAACTACTAGCAGGGCAAGGGAACTGCAGTTCTGGGTGAAGTTTTAGCTAAAGGTGCCTTCTCCAAAGTGGATTTGCAAATGCTATCGTTTTTAAAAGTGTGTGGCAATGTTTCCTTCTCAGCAGCTTGGGGCGTTCAGTTTGGAAGGGATAAGCTGGTGAGTAATTCAATCACTCTACATGGGACAACTATCTGTCACAGATATGCATGTACGTCTTTCTCCCCTCCTTAAATAGGATACACAACTGTGAACTGCCTTGCAATCTTAAGAAAACTAAGAGCTGTTGCTGATATCTGTCCTTATTAAAACAGTGTTGCACAATAAAGAAAACTTAGTTTAGCAAAAGAATTATCTGCTAAAGAGTTTAAAAGAAAATCAGAAAAGATGTTTTAGGTAGAAGAATGTGCTTTATAACTGGCAATCTAGCAGAAAACTCTCACCAAC